TCATATGACGGACATCATCAGAGCGAGGTAACATCGTCACAACAAAATTCAAGCTAACGAGTCAAGAAGAATCACTTACAAATCCCTCGTTAGCTTGAATTTTCTTGTGACGATGTTACCTCGCTCTGATGATGTCTGTCATATGACGGACGAAAGCTTAGCACCTTTTCACCGGAATCGAAGGAGATTCCATCGGAAACAGCGTCAGCATGAATCTTCCAGTTAAGTCAATCGACAGCTGGTCAAGAGGAATCCTCCGTCGTCCTCTGGTGGAACCGACCTTCGAATCTCCTTATCCAAAATTTCCACTCGAAATGGAAGTAAGCTCAACAATTATGAAACAAAAGATTCCTGGAAACCCAACTTTTCTTCAATATATTATTGACCTTGTCAGAATGCTATTTTATCACCAAATCGCGAAGACTAGTTTGGATGTCATAACGTTTTCAACAGTACTGTTTTGCAACTTTTTAGAGCCTAAGCGCCATGCTTTTTTATTATATTTATCATTCTAATGTCTGATGGCGCTTTATGATCACATGTCTATTTTGTTTCTCTTAACACGATCAAATGCCAAGCTGAATATGAACAGCTAGTGAAAATGTTTAAACCTGAATGATTGCCAAATCAGTGGATACACAAGGTAAAAAGAGTAGGTGGACCCTTTATCAGTTATCGGAGTTTTTGTTCCTACAGCCTAGTAACGTATGCTGCTTTATTCGCCCAGCCTTGCCATTAATAGCACTACTACTACGGCCTGTCTTTATTTAGTCCCATGGCTGTGGCATTCACTAGCTCCGACCTGCCTATGCAGTCATAGGCACGTATGCGCATCTAATTGGCCTAGCCGATTTTTGCTGCTAAACCAATTTACTACCATATTAATCCGTACCTGTTTTGCCTATCTCGTATCTTTGTGTCTACGTAAATATGTATGAATAGATTGACTTGGCAATCAGCCAACTGTTGAGTTGGCTACTAAGCTTCCAGAAATTTGTATGTTTATGTACCTGCTTTCAGCTATCTATCCATGTGCATCTATCTGTATATTTATTGATCTGGAAGCATTGTCTTCAGGTCCTGTGCTCCGTGAACTGTCGCGCTGTCTGTCCTTCAACTTACTTCTGTTTTATTTGTCCTAAATGGCGGTCTCCAACCTAGCTCCGGATTCCGGACAAACGCTCGTTCCCACTGCGGTGCCAGCAGGAACGACTGACATGACTGGCCTTATGTGCACTCGGGACGTCCGCTTTAAAGGCCGATCTGCAACCCAGCATTCGTTTGCATTTTTGGCCCCTGTCTTAGAATTAGTTGCTATTTCTTTCTTGGCAGCGTACTCATTATTCCAATTTATTTGTCACTATTCTTCTCCTAAACTGCCTATCTTTGGATCAAAGTTATAAGCTTTGGAGGCTTAGTGGCTTTTTGGCCATGAACTATTTTCTGGACATAGCCCCGTCATGCCTTATATTTATTGCTCTTAGACATCCTTATTGTCTGCTCTTAAAATAATTCTCTTTTCTTTTAAGTGTCTTTCAAACACTGGATTTTCATTTTTTCCTGCATCAAATATTACAG